GGTCTCCGGTGAGCCGTGGCCTCATGTCGCGTTTACAGCTGAGATCTTTGAATTTTAAATGCTGCCTTTGGTCAGTATTGTTAAAATATCTGGGTTTGCATAGATTTTTTTAATACTATCAGATGACTATTAAACAGAATGAGGATTTATCTATTTTATTGATACCTCGAAGATATTTGTGATGTTTACAATCCGTGCGGTAGCTATAGAAAAGCAAGCCGGAGGTCAGAGGCTCTTTTTGTCTGCTTACCTTATTTTCTTGATGCACCCTTACTTAAACAGACATGGTGAACGCTTTCCTTGTTAAATTATTCATACACGTTTGCTTCCAGAAGCTCACTTGTGCAGCTGAAATGGTCCGTGGTGATGGCAGCTCATTATATCTGCTGGGAGAGTTGTGCGTCAGGAAGGCATTTGACTCAATTTAGTGGAGACGTCTGTAGCCAGGTTTTCAGAACAGCACATAGATTACAAAGAAAAGTTTGTTTGTTTTTTATTCCCAAGTCTCTTGTTTTGAAGCAGTGACCTCTGATTCACCTCCATTCTGCCCAAACACAGACAAATGTTCATGGTTTCGGTCTCTTGACCGTCTTGGATAATACCCCACAGTCATCGAGTTCATTTTAAATCAGGATCTTTATATAATTGAATGCAGGATGACCTCTGTGAACCGTATTAGCAACGGTATGTTTCTAAGAGCTTGACCAAATATTATACAAGTGTCAAATGTTTGTCCAGTGACCTAATGATGTTGCAATGCAATGAGGGGTGTCTAATTATCTAATTGCATTTTTAATCCAATTTTGTGGAGTCAAATAAAATGAGTGAAGAAAGATGCTCATTTTGGCAAATTTAGAAGATTATATACACTACTGTTCAAGTGTTTTTTTTTTTATTCAGCATAGACGCATTAGTCAAGTCACCTTTATTTATATAGCGCTTTTAACAATACAGATTGTGCCAAAGCAACTGAACAGCATTAATTAGGAAAATAGTGTCAAACGCAGCGCTAAGATCCAATAGCACTAATAGAGAGCTACAACCACAATCAGATGATAAGAGCAGGTCATTAAATTGATCAAAAGAGACATTATCATAAAGACTTCTATGATTCTACAAAAGATTTGTGTTTTAAATAAATGCTGTTCTTTTTAACTTTCTGTTTATCCAAGACTCTTGAAAAATGTATCACAGTTTCCACAAAAATTTGAAACAACCATTTTCAGCATTTGAAAAGGTAACACTTTATTTTAAGGTGTCTTTGTTACACATGTTACATGTACTTACTATTATAATAACAATTAATTATGCATAATTACATGCAAGTAACCCCAAGCCAAACCCTAATCCTAACCCTAACCATATAGTAAGTACATGTAGTAAATATAACTCAGTACTTAAATGTATAATTACACTGTAACAAGGACACCTTAAAATAAAGTGTAACCTTTGAAAATAAGAAATGTTTCTTAAGCACCAAATCAGCATATCAGAATAATTTCTTAAGTATCACGTGACACTGAAGACTGGAGTAATGACAGCTTTGCATCATGAATAAATTAAATTTTCAATTGTTACAATAGAAAACAGTTATTAAATGGTAATAATATTTCACAATATCACTGTTTTTATTTATTTATGATCAATTAAATGCATCCTTGGTGAGCGTAAGAGAGAAACACTAATGTATTGACCCCAAACACATATATATATATATATATAAGTTCCAGAAGAGAGGCTGTTAATTAAAAAGTGAATTGTGTTAATGTTTACGGAGATCTTTAAATATGTAAATTTGTATATCTGATGAAAGTTTATATGCAGTATGAATATATATATATGTGTGTGTGTATATATATATATATATATATATATATATATAGAACTCTGATTACAACTCTGATTTTGTCTATTTTTCTTTTTAAAATAAAAGGATGATCAAAATACAGAATGTCACTGCAATGTCAAGACTTTCTTTGAAGAGTTTTAAACACATCTCCTGTGATCATACACAGTTGGCTGCGTACGGAGCTCGCCATATGGAGCAGACACCTGAATGTTCCCGGCGTCAGTCTGAGCTCGCATGGCTGGTGAAGGGCAATCAGTCACAGAAACAGATGTGTTTGCATGTTCTACATAATGCGGGGCAATAATCTCGCAGTCTGCCGTGGCATTACCCCCTGCTGTCCTGAAAGGCAGTGACAAACCATCCACCGTCTTTCCCTGGGAACGGTGCAAAGAGTGCTTGTGTACAAACGAGGTCACTTGATTGGTGTCTTACAGAGTGGGAAGGGTGCATGTTGTCCTATCCAGTGTTGTTTGCATAAGTGCAATTATTTTAATAACATTTGTATGCGTACCAGTGATTTTATATGAAAATATGAGTGGATTCAAATTCTCCTTGAATAGATAGTCGTCATTCAAATCTTTTCATGCCCGGGTTTTAGGAATATTCTGTATTGTTTGTGTGTGTGTGTGTATCAGTCACTTGCACTGGTTCGAAATCCCAGTGACAGAATGTAAATATTTCATTTCAGCTGTGCTGCAGCTCAAAACACATTATTAATTTATAGATTTGAAACTCCTCCTATGCTTCCTGTATCTGATATTATACCTTTGAAAACAGTCTACATCTTCTGGCAGCTTATGAAGGTCTTGTCTGAATATTGCTTATCATGCTGGCCCACCCTCTCCCTCTCGCTTGGGGATAAAGCCTGGAATTATAAAAGTTCTGTTTGCGGAATTTCAACTCGGCAGTCAGTCGTTAGCTCGAGCATTTCTAATCATTCGCTTACAGTGAGGCTAGATCAACATCAGCAGAATGTGAGTCTACATTTGCAGATGGCCTTCAGGCCTAGTTATGCACTTATTTAAATGAATATGGGATTTTTAAAGGTGCACTCTATATGTTTTTGTTTATTTATGCGGAGTCTTCATCTCAGTGGTCTTGGGAATATTTATGACCCTGGACCACAAAACCAGTCATAAGGGTAAAGTTTTCGAAATTGAGATTTATACATCATCTGAAAGCTGAATAAATAAGCTTATTATTATTATTATTATTATTATAAGCTGTCCATATGAAGTTCTTAGCAATGCATATTACTAATCAAAAATTAAGTTTTGATATATTTACAGTAGGAAACTTACTAAATATCTTCATGGAACATGATCTTTACTTAATGATCTAATGATTTTTGGCATAAAAGAAAAATCAATAATTTTGACCCATACAATGTATTTTTGGCTATTGCTACAAATATACCCCAGCGACTTAAGACGTCTTAAGAAGTCTTTTCCCTGCCTCATATCAAAACTTTCCTAAAATGGACATCCTAACAAGTATAATGTTATGTCTGCATTATGTATATACTCTTTAGATGTATTTTGTCTAGATGCTTATCGCCTTGAGCACTGTCTGAAAGCGCTATATAATGTAAACGTAGTTATTAGTAACGGCATGATACAACTGGTCATGTGATCTCAAAACACGGACATCCAATCCATGTTAAAAATGAAAGACCAGGGTTGTTTATTTCTAACTTAAATGCCACAGACATGTAAATATGGTTAACCTATTTGTTAATCACAAATATAAAGGCAGCAATATATTTTCATGTACACCTCCATTCAAAAGTTTAAGGCCAGATATTTTAATATTTCTGATAGTCTCGTATGCTCACCAAGGCTGCATTTCTTTGACCAAAAATACAATAAAACAGTGATACTGTGATATATTATGTAAGAAATAATTGACGACGGGCCGTTGAATCATTAGAAAATAATGCACATCCGAAGTGGTCACGTCGTGGCCGTTACACCTCAGTTATTACCGGAGTCAGTTATTCTGCTTATAGCCTACTACGGTTACCACACTGCAAGACATCGATCAGATTATATATATTTCAAGGCCGGTGTTGTGCCCAATTCTGACCCCCTGCCAGATTATTACCCCCCTAGTATTGGTAGGTTTAGGTGTGGGGGAGGGGTTAGGAATAGGGGTAAGGTTAGGATTAGGCAATCAGGTAGCGACTTGAACGAGTGGGGTAATAATTTGGCAGGGGGTCAAAATTGGGCACAACACCGGTTTATGTCCTTAAAACGCTCTTCGGTGTAGGATTAATTTCTTACGCATCTCATCCAACGCCTGCGCTGCTAATTCCAAAACATCATTTTAGACCAATAATTTGGCAGGGGGTCAAAATTGGGCACAACACCGGTTTATGTCCTTAAAACGCTCTTCGGTGTAGGATTAATTTCATTAATCTCATCCAACGCCTGCGCTGCTAATTCCAAAACATCATTTTAGACCTAGTAACGGAGGCTTGAGCCGTTGATGGCAGACTAATGCAGTTAATAACTAAGTTATTAGAGAGAGAGAGAGATTAAGCGTCTGAATTACCTCTCTACAGTGTTCGGCAGCAGCGTCTCTACTAATAGTGAAACTTTAAGTTCATTTTCTTCAAGAACAGCGCCGCTGTTACCTCACTTGTGAGAAATGTCATGTAGCTTTTAAGTTGCTAAACTATTTTACTGAAAAAATCGTCAAGAGTAGCGCTAACATCGTTAGCACGTGTGTTTTCGTGTGTGCCTGTGTCTGTACTGTATGTGATAATCTGGAAATAATCTGTCGTTTTTATCCTATTGTTTACTATTTATTTGCTTGGTCAGCGTCATTGTGGGTTTTGGTTATTTTGCTGTTTTAGGCTGTAAGGACCTTTCAAGTAACTGAAATCATTTGGCGAAGTGATCTGGACATGTAAATTAATGTGGTCAAGACCTGCCTGGAACTACGCTCGCCGTGCGTTTCGGGCAATCCACGGCCCATAGTCTAATGTGTGTGTGTATGTGTGTGTGAGAGAGAGAGAGAGAGAGAGAGAGAGAGAGAGAGACTCTGTGTGTGTAAAATTATCTGGAAAAGATTACTTTCTATTAAGTTGACATTGGACCTACAATAATGTACAGTATTTGAAAAATAATGTGTTTTTTGAACATTAAAGCATGTCAACATATTCTGTTACACCAAATAATGATCTTTAAAAAAGCATCATATGACCCCTTTAAATCTTTTGTGATTCATCTTACTATTTCTGACCACTGTTTACAAAGTAGAATGAAATGGTATTAATGTCAAATTCTGTCTATTGTAACATTACATTTATTTATATTTTTCCATTAAATATTAAAATTGTTTGTTTGTTATTGTTGGTTTTTTTTTTTTTTTTACAGTATTTTTTTTTCTCATCTGCACTTGTCAGTGGACCCATCACTGACTTGGAGTCTTCATCTTATACGAGTATACATCATTTTAATCATATACCAAATCAAGTGCTATTTATTTCCTTATGTATAGAATTAAAGAATAAAAAATGCACTTTTACCTAGTCTTGCACCGCAAGATCAGTTCATGTTGGTCTGGCTCACAAGGATGGTCTAGAATTCAGGCCGGTGATGTATGACTTCCATCACTTCTGCTCCGTATTCTCATTTGTATTCTCCTTTGCTTTTTTTACCCCCCAATGCCCCTTCCGAATTTATGCTTTCTACGCAAACTTCACTGAAGGTAATGATGCAGTACGGGTACATTTCATTGGTGTACTAATGATCTCTCTGTTTTTTCCCTCTTATTTTGGTTCCTTGTGTGCAGCGATGTGGAGAGCTGGTTCTGCGCGTGTCCTTCACTTTACTCCGGTAAGCTGTGCCAGTTCACCGCCTGCGAGCGAAACCCGTGTGCACTCGGCGCCACCTGCGTTCCCCAGACGCGGCTCGAAGCAGTGTGTCTTTGCCCCTATGGAAGGCAGGGTCTCCTCTGCGATGAGGGTAGGTCCCGTCAAGGTTCGTGTGTAGACGGTGATTTACACCAGTATCCATGGAGACACAATGAAGCCGGCATGGCCAGAGGGTGTTTCGTTTGATATTTGTTGCATTCTGAGGTTTGTTTTCCTCCATCTCCTGCGAGCACCTCCGTTTTTGAGGTTAGACCCATAGGTGGTAGATTGAAATGTATTCCCAGCAGTTTTGTTTAACTGATGCAAGCCGTTGAAATACGGTTCCAATTAGAGAAGCTAAGTGCTCTGAGCTCGCTACAAACTCGCTAAACAGTTACTGAACTCTGAACATTTAAGGATAACTGCCAGTCTGCGTTGTATTGCTAACTCGATTCCTCTATGTGCACTGACCTTTCGAGGTGTCTACAGGTAATAGAGTATGCATCCAAATATAATGAGCACACCAAGTGCTTTAAATTAGGCTACTCTGAAACTTAATTTATCAAAGCGTAGTCACAGAATGTACTCTCTGCAATTGGGTTTGTTTTATTGTCTCAAATAACAAAGCTGTGAAGACATACTACAGCGCCGTGTAACTAATGTACTTCTCTTTCCGGCTCTACCTCTCAGTGTTAAGTCAGCTAAAGTCCGATATCTGCTTACACAGATAGCTCTTCATCTTCTCAGCTGCGCTTGGAGGGAAAAGAACTGCTGCTATTTTGCTGTAATCTAATTGGGTGGCATGGTTTGAAGACCGCTTGGCACAGCACGCCGGGCAGGGCTAGCAGACGTAGCTCTGTCAGACAGTAAAGAGCCCGATGCCAAATGGAGTGTTCTAATCTCGCAGTGTCACACCGAGTGGGACTGACATTTGAATTTAAAGGCTGATAACAGCAGATAACATCAATCAGTATTGATTAGTAACCAAGGCCTTGCTGTCTCTGGACAGTCACTCAACTTTAGATGTGCTGGACTTCTTCAAATGAGCCTGGACTAATGGAATTATAGGAAGGGTGTTTTGAGTCTGTTTTATGTATTGATTTAGTGTTGCATTTAGATATATTTTTAGTAATGTATTTTTATAGATTACTCCGAAAATAAGATTCAAAGAGCACACTTTTTTTTTTTAAGTTGCCAGGCAACATGGCAAATGCGATTTATGTGGTAATATCCAAAGTAACTGCTTAAATTAACTTTCAAGAAAAATAAATTTATTGGAAAAAATGGTTTGTTATGCTTCAGTGTTGTATTAGTACAATCTGAATACTATGATAGTATTTATTAACATTTTCAATGGTTTATTTTTATATTTTAATTTTTAATTTTATTTTTAGATTAGGTTTGTCATTTTAATAATAATGTTTATTTTTACTTTTTTTATATTTCCATTTAGATATCATTTATTTTAATTTCAGTACAAGAATTACAAAAAATTGCAAAAACTTAAATTAGTTGCCATGGCAACTTTTAATTTTTTACAAGTTTAAGATTTATCTAATGGTTATAATTTATTGTATTTCAGCTGTTTCAATTACCGATAACAATTTTTAGTTTTAACAACAACACTGTCGTGCACATTTTTTTTTTTTTTTTTTTTCACCGTAAGTTGAAGTACTAAAATGACTTAAATTAAAGCTTATTTCAGTTAGCTCCCAAGGCAAAACAATTTTTCTTTTAATTTAAGTTTCTAATATGTATATTTCTTCAGCTTTACTTAAATTGCCAATAATACTTTTATTAAAAAATAACAGCAGTCATGGATTTTTTTTATTTTTTTTATTTTATTATTTTACTTTGACCTGACCAACTTATTATTTGCATAATTGCAGCTTTATTATCAAAGAATTCGCTTTTTTAGAAGTCCGAATTCACAGGCAGACAGATAGATTGATCTTTCGATTGATCATGGGAGCTTGTATTGCTGAAAGCAGCTTGAGGCTGCAGTGGAGTTTAGAGGACAGACTGTGTTCTCTGACGCACCGTTAACTTCACACTCACCTAAAATAGACCCATAACATAATAGCACATCTGTCCTAAACCGCCTTACAGCCTTAACTCACACATCATGTGACTTCCTGTATTTTCATTTCACCATCACCAGGCTCTGCATCAAAAGATTAAACAATCATCTTGTGGGAAGTGTATAGGATCAAATAGATTCTGTGAGGAGTTGCTCACATGTGCATATCTTTATTTTTATGTCTTTATTTGTTTCATTTTTGTGTGCATATGTGTGTGTGTCAGTGGTAAGAGATGGAAATTTAAAAAAAAGCAAAATGTCTCCGGGTCCAGCCAACACAGCTGACAGAAAGCTATTGAATTTCACTACAGCAAAATCCTTACAAATGGTTTTTGACTAGAACGGATGGAAATAAATGGGTCTATATAAATGTCACCTGTAAAAACTGCCTGGGAGTTGGAGGTTTTGTTTTCTTGTTCCTTTATTCACCTCCAGCAACAGCAGCAGAATAATACAGCAGAGAGAAGCGTCCTGTGATCTGCAGTGCCTTTGCATGGAAAGTTAAACGTTAGTTATGGTTATTTGTGGACATATCTTTATCCTGTCATATGGGACATTCACAGATACATTTTTAGTTATTAGAAGAATTTTAAAAAATAATAGTGTTTTGTTCATGTATCAGAAGTGTGAAATACCTCAGGGAAAGGAAGAGTTTTTCATGTCTAATTATTGCAATTCTTATCACTTCTGAATGCTAGAATCAGAAATCCCATTTGACTTTGGAAATGAGCTCAAATCACACCCTTGCACAGGACTGCAGTTGGTAATTGGTATTCTCAAAAAGTACCCAATATGTCCGATTAATAAATGGCCAGTTTATTAATGAATTTCACTTGGAGCAAGAAATGTAACTCGGCATAGGCAGCATATCACAGAGCCATTACATGACACTGTGAGTTAAGAATACAGCTGGCCCCATCAAGCCAGCGTTGCTAAAAATGCATTCTAGTCGTTCATTAGGCGCTGTGCAAATAAACCGTGACACGGTAATATATGTGCAATTTCAAAAGGCATCAATAATTCAAGGGGAGAGCAGAGGGAAGAACTTCAGTGCTGTTCCCAGAGAAATCCTCCGGAGAGGCTTTGCAGACTGCACAGTTCATAAAGACAAAATGAGGGGTGGAGACAACTCTTTAGGTAGCACATTTTTTCACTGGAGAAAACGTGTGTAAATGCTTAATGTACCCAAGCTGAAATGTTTCTGACCGATGCTTGGTGGACCAGGTGATTAAATGTTGAGATTTTCCTCCTCTGAAATGCATTGTCCAAAGTATTGTCCATTTCACAAATTTCTGCAGATATCACTGTTACAACCAATGTCCATTCTCAGGGTAAAATGGCACAAAATTACAATAATACTTGTTAGCAGCAGCATTTTTTCCCCACAGGAAATAATAATGCATAGAATTTGACAAGTGCAATAAATGGTGCAATATCGCCATCTTGTGTCTCTTTCTCAGACAGCTGCTGGTAACTTCACCTCAGTAAAATTGTCATTTTACAGATTTTTTTTTATTTTTTATTCAGACTTATTACAATGCATTTCTCAAGTACAGTTGGGAAAATATTTATTTGATCCCCTGCTTATTTTGTAAGTTTGCCCACTTACAAAGAAATGAAGGGTCTGTAATTTTTATGGTAGGTTTATTTTAACATATAGAGACACATTATAGAGGGAAAAAAACCACATTATTATAAAGGTTAGAAACTGATCTGCATTTCAGTGAGTGAAATAATTATTTGATCCCCAAGCAAAACATGATTTAATACTTGGTGCAGAAACCCTTGTTGGCTAGCACAGAGGTAAAACGTTTCTTGTAGTTGGTCACCAGGTTTGCACACATCTCAGAAGGGATTTTGGTCCACTCCTCTTTACAGATTCTTTCTAAATTCTTAAGGTTTCTTGGCTGTCATTTGGCAACTCGAAGTTTCAGTTCCCTCCACAGATTTTCTATAGGATTGAGGTCTGGAGACTGGCTAGGCCAGTTGGTAGGGGATCAAATACTTATTTCACTCACTGAAATGCAAATCAATCTCTAACCTTTATATAATGTCTTTTTTCTGGATTTTTGTTTTGGTCTGTATTCTGTCTCTATCCATTAAAATGAACCTACCATAAAAATGACAGACCCTTCATTTCTTTGTAAGTGGGCAAACTTACAAAATCAACAGTGAATCAAATATTTTCCCCACTGTATAATTATAGTAAAATTGAACCCGCAACCCTTACGATAGGTCACCATTAACCATTATGTTGTCATAGCCCTGACTTGTTTTATTATTATTATTATTATTATTATTATTATTATTATTTTAGGCATATGTTTTTTTAAAAATTAAATGTATATTGAAAATAATAATTTGTTTTTAATTATTTTATTCATTTAAAATAATTTAACAATTTTATTTGAATATTTATTTATTTATTTTGCTATTTCTTTGCAGCTGTCAACATCACTCGTCCCAGGTTTAGTGGACTTGATGAATTTGGATACTCATCCTATGTGGCTTATCCTTCTATTCCCAGTATCGGTCATTTTTATGAATTCCACCTGAAGCTCACCTTTGCCAATAATGTCTCCGCTTTGAGAAACAACCTCATTCTCTTTTCTGGGCAAAAGGGACAAGGTGAGTAAAAATGGGAAAATTGTCTTATTCCTTTATATTTGTTACTCCATCTTTCTTTATTCACTTTGATTTCAGCGCATCCCTCAGTGGTTATCATACTATGCCGTATATATGGTGTATGAAAAAAAGAGATGGATTCATAGCAGTTTGGCTGTAAACGTTTTCCCAGCATTAGATGAGGTCATGTTAGAGGAAGTGAGGTTCAGAAATAATATCACTCAACTAGGAGATATTAATGGAGCAGCTGCTGTAAAATGTGCTGTAAGTGTAAGTCCAGGACCCAACAGCAGAGACAATGTATCTGTGCACACAACGGGGCAGTGATTTTTATTATCTGCCATAAGGGAAAGATCTGTTATATATGAGGTCTCTAAAGAATCTCAGATAATGGAGGAGAACTCTTGACCATAGTATTCAAACTAGGATGTAAAGATAGTAAATGCAGACTTATTTACCATTTACACATCTCTAATTTATATAGACAAGTATTATTAATAATCATTTAATAATAAATAGGGTGTAATAACCTATAATAATTATAATGTTATAATTATATAAATGTATTTTTAAAGTCTTTCTTACTAGCTAAAAAAACAGTTAAACATTTTTAAATGATAAATTACTTGAGAAGGTAGTATAGATCTATTAAGAGTTGTTTTCAGAAAAAAACCAACAAATCAACTTCCTGTTGAAAACGGCGTTAAGAAGAAGAGCTGTCGTTTTGAGAGACACAGCATCTCGGTCAAGTTTCCTCATGCCATGATTTCCTCCGCCACCATCGGCAATTTATTTTAAGGTCAGTTTCAGTGGCTGCTAACTGACACGTCACTGCTACGAACATGTTTAATCAAAAGACAGGCAGCTGAATAAAAGCGTAAGGGGGGTATGAATCTTCTTCAGTTCAGAGAGCGTCCCTCGGGATTATAGTTTAGGATGATTCATCGAGGGAAAGAGAGAAGAGGACAGCGCTGTGAATAATGAAGCAATTGTCAAAGGGGCCGTGCAGCACAGTGGAGGACAAAATCAAAAAGAAGGAATCCGAGAGGATGAGAAGGCAACTATTCACCTGATAATTGGCCAGATAAATTGGACCGTTAGATCCATCAGCTCAAAAGAAAAATAAATTACATTTTATAGATGGCCGGATTGACCTGGACCACCAGTGAAAATGCTTCAGTTTGACATCCTTTTCTAATTTATCACTTTTTTTGCATAGTAATTGAGTGATTAGTGATCACATCAAAATTAGTGATTCATTTTACCTCATGCATTTTTCAAAATTCTAAATCCGTTTATTTCCAGGTTTAAACAGGAAATAAAAATCCCAGATTTCCAATATGTTCTCAGACTTTTGGTCCCCACTGCATGTGCTAATTGGATTCTGTGTGTTATTGTTTCTGTGAAGGCATCAGTGGTGATGACTTCTTCGCATTGGGGGTGCGGAACGGCAGGATTGTTCAGAAGTATAATCTCGGCTCGGGTTTGGCAACAATTATCAGCGAGCGCCTGAATCCGAGGATCAACATTCACACGGTGCACTTTGGAAGACATCTGTTTTTTTTTTTTAGTTCATATTTTTATTCAGCAAAGATGCATTAAATTTATCGCAAGTGATGGTAAAAACTTATAGTGTTTTTAACTATTATTTATAGTATTAAAAAAAGATTTCAAATAAATGCTGCGGCTAGTCATGAAGAATCCTGAAAAAAATTGATTATGAAAAATAAAGATAGTAAATATTTTGTTATATAATAAATTATTATATAATGATTATACAAATACTTGGGGCTTGTGTACCAGTAAAAATATTTAAACATCTTTAAATGATAATTAATAACAATAATAATTGTAAAAAATAATTGTAATTATTATAGAAATATTTAAAGAAATAAAAAAAATCTTGCTTACCAGTAAAAATAGTTTTAAAGTTATAAATTATGTGATGTATATTATGGAGATATTAAGTGTTGTTTTTAGAGAATACTGTATATAATTTATTTCGGGGGTTTTTTAGGCATAAACCAATCTTTCCTATTGAGATGCTGTGGCATGACCTTAAAAAGGCGGTTCATGCTCGAAATCCCTCCAATGTGGCTGAATTACAACACTTCTGCATAGATGAGTGGACCAAATTCCTCCACAGCGCTGTAACCGGAAGGGGGCCAACACTTTTTCACACCACTGTATATATATATATTATCTTAAGAAGTATCTTTTATGTAACTATGCATTTTAAACTGTAAATCTTAACTATAATCTTAGCTGTTAATTTTGCTTTTCAAATAAATGCATATATTTTGTTACTTGAAAACGACATGAAAATACTAATTAAAAAAGGGTTTTCTGGCATTTATGTATTCAAGTGCAATGTAAGTACCATTATAAAATACTAATTGCTATTCGTTTGAAATGCAAGACAAAGCCAGTAGCCTGTCTCTAAGGATGCTGAACAAAAATAAATAAATACAAGAAATGACGGGGGACGGAAATTCTAAGCGTTTTCTTGTTCTGAGTCACCAATTTTGACTCTAAGGTCTTTTTGACCAGCTGACGTCACGTTGGTTTGTTCTTTTCTGAACAGGTTGATGGGCAGAAGAGGAGGATGGGTACATCCCCTGGACCACTGGTGGGCTTGAACACCTTTAGTCAGCTTTATGTGGGTGGATATGAAGAATACACACCTGAGCTATTGCCTGCGGGCTCTCGATTCCAGAACAGCTTTCAAGGTAGTATGTTTTTTCATTATGGTCTTGTTTGATGTCTTGATTCAGATTGTCAGTTCATGATGAAATCAGTCTTTCTTACTTGGATCATCTGTGTAGTGATGTGTAGAGAGAGTAACATGCGTGAATTGATGTTCAGCTTATTTTATGAACATCTGTAGCTCTGAGGGGACCCTTAACCTTGTGTGCAATATGTGTGCAATCATCCATCACAAAGCTTTATTGAAACAGACATTTTAATGCTAACAAAATATGGTGTTTGCAGGTTGATGTTATTGTGAGGGAATTACTCATAAAATGTTACAACTTTTGATCCGTCAAAAGTTTAGACACACCTGCTTTATGAAATAACGCAGTGAAATAACACAAACAGAAGTACATAAACTATGTATTGACCAAACAAATTTTAAAAAAGGCTTTTAAAACATTTTAAACTTTATCATTGTAAAGAAATGTACATGGTCACAAATCTACAAAATTAATGAAAGGAATAGTTCACCCAAAAAGAAAATTTGCTGAATATTTACTCACCCTCAGACCATCCAAGATGTGGATGAGTTTGTTTCTTCATCAGATCAGATTTGGAGAAATTTAGCATTACATTACTGACTCACTGCAGTCCAAACAGCTGATAAAAACATTACAGTAATACACATGACTCCAGTCCATCAATTAAGCAGTGAGTGCAAATTGTCTCTTTTTTTCATCAAAAGCTATTCCTTGAAGGATACACCTTTAAAAAAGGTTGATAGGATTTCAGATTCTGTATGTCCAAACTTTTGATTGGTGTTTTTTTTTGTTTTGTTTTTTTATCTTTAGTCTCTGTCGTCTTATTACATAGCATTTCATAATGAATGTAATGCTTATTACATAGCATTTCAATGAATCACGCTGAAGAGAGTCGGATGGAGTTGATCTTCTGTCTCAGGCTTTGGATGCTTTACAGTCAGTAGGCCTCATTCATGAAACACGAGCAGAACAAATTTCTCTGTAAATCCTTCATAAATCTGTTCTCACATAAATTGTTGCATTTCCTGCAGAGTTGAATTGAGACATTCCGTTCCAGAACACCAGAGTGTCTGTGATTTTTAGAAATGTATTTTAATTGGCCATTGATTGCAGCCTCATTGAAATTCTGTGCAATGATCTCAAGCACAACATCATGAAAACATATCCAAACTGAAGATGAGTGGGCCAAGATTCCGCCCAACCCACTGCGTGTCTTATTTAGTCACTTTTGTTGAAGAAATGCTCTAGATTCAATACAAGTTATTCTCTACTACCACATAACATAATTTCGACTCATCCCTCAGTTTAGAGTAATTCACTTACAGTGGAAGTCTAAAATATAGTTTCACAACGGCTATCTTGGGGCATCTTCAACCTCAAATTACATTTTTGAAACTGCTTGATTATGATTTTAAATGGTTATTGACTGGCTATTAAATGATCATCTGAATTTAATACCCACCTATGAATATATGAACTGATCTCATGGAGCTCAAGGCTCTTGATATTTGCAACACTCATCTGTATCTGCCATTTACTGGAGATTTATTTCTTTCTATTATTTGAAAAAGAGGAAAAGAATAGATTTCTTTCTTTTTCAGCATCAAAGCTCAAGCTCAAACTCATGGATTTTTACCTATTTTTCTCTCTCTCTCCTTCTCCCTGATGGCTTTTCCAGAAAATAATCACACACTTTGTCAGCACTGTTATTTTTTCTTGTCGTTTCTGTAGAAAGCCATGTGCCAGAATTAGATGATATTATTATATGAATTTTCAGTGATGGCACAAATGTTTCCTCTATTCCTGAATGTTACATTTACTAGACTTTTAGAAAAAGCATCTGGGTCATGCTGGTATGTTCATTGGATGTTTCCAGAGCTTACTGCCCCAGTGATTAGAAGAGCTTAGTTTGGGGTCAGTAAGTTTATATATATATATATATATATATGTATGTGTGTGTGTGTTTGAAAGACGTCTATCCTTTTCAAATTTATTTCATCAAATATCTGCATTCATTTGGTCAAAAATACAGTAAAAAAAAACAATATTGTGAAACATTACCATTTAAAGTAACTATTTTCTATAAAAGTAACTATTTTCTATAGTAATTTATTCCTTCATTTATTTGACCAGAAATGCAGTGAAAACAGTAATGTTTTCTTATTATCAATTGAAAAAAGTTTTGCTGCTTCAAATGTGACATTTTTTCAGAATTCTTTCAAAAGAACAGCATTTATTTATTTTTTGTAACTATGTAAAGGTCTTTACTTTCACTTTTGATCAATTTAATGCATCTTTGCTGAATAAAAAGATTCATTTCTTTAAAAAAATAAAAAATAAATCTTATTGACCCCAAACGTTTGATGCTGTATATTGATGCTGTGTATGTTGACTTTCAATACTGTATATTCTGCTATATTCCTGCACACAATGCTATCATATGGCTTCTGAAGACTCCGAATATAGTGCGCAAATCATTAAAAATACTTTCAAAGTGGGTTTGTTTTTTGTTTTTTTTGCTGCTTTGTTTTTGTCCTTTTAGGAGCTTTACAGTCCCCGGTAAACATGAACATGAGGGTGAGTAAATAATTACATGATTTTCTCTCTCTTTCTCTTTCTCTTTCTCTTTCTCGTTCTCTCTCTCTTTTTCTCTCTCTCTCTCTCTCTCTCTGTCTTTAAAGGCTGCATTTTTGATTTGCTGTTTCGGACAAGACGAGATGGGAAGTTTCATCCTCCAGGAGGGTCAGAGGGCAGGCCAGTGTCAGGACGTAATGTGGGGCAGTGTGGTGTTAATCTGTGCAGCTTGGTCATCTGCAAGAACGGAGGCACCTGTGTGGACTCTGGATCCTCTGTGTAGTAAGACTTCCACTTCAGAACAAGCACCTGTTTGTGCGTGTGAATGACTGACAAATATTATTAATCATTTGTATTTGGCCTTCCCCTCCAGCTGTCAGTGTGTGTTAGGATGGAAAGGCGCTCTTTGCTCAGAGAAAGTGTCGTTCTGTGATGCTGAGCACATCCCACCACCCTCCTGCGCTCGCGGTGCCCCCTGCGTGCCCCTTCCTGATGGATACACATGCCAGTGCCCCCTAGGCTCTGCTGGACTCTTCTGCCAGCAAGGTTAGACCACAATCAGTCTCACCTCCAGGGAACCGCTGGGCTTCTGCAGAAGGATTCAGACAAACGTAGTGTAAAAAAATAATATGTTAAAATTAGCAAATTGTACATTTTATTGTCTCATTCCGCTTTCTAAAGACAGGAGATTATTGACTGTTTTATTATTGACAGACATATTTTTTTTTCTTTTCAGGTATACAGTAACTGTTGGTAGAAAAAGTACACTTCAGTTAATATATTATATTATAAAATAATATAATTAATATATTTATATATATTAAATACATGTAAATGTATATAGTAAGTATAAACAGAAAATATTTTATTTATGTTTTTAAAGAAGTCTCTTTTTCTCATTAAGGCTGCAATAATTTGATCAAAAATACTGTAAAACAGTAATATTGTGAAATACTGTATAATGACACAATAAAATAACTCTTTTCTACTTTCATGTTTACGATTTTGTTTATTCCTGTAATGGCAAAACTGAATTTTAATAATGTTTTTTGCAGGATTCTTTAGTGAATAGAGGGCATTTGTTTGAAATGTCTTTACTGTCACTTTTGATCAATTTAATGTGTCCTTGCTGAATAAAAGTATTCATTTCCTTAGAAATAAAATTTGATTGACTCCAAACTTTTGAACTGTAGTGTGTATATATGTAAATAAAACATAAATATAAAAGCATATTATAAAGATATTTTGTTGCCTTTATATTTGTCAAGTTAGTGTTGCCTTGAATAATAAACTTGATCAAAATAAAAGCTAAATATTTTTGCCTTTTATATTTCTCGGGGGGAAAAAGAATACTCTACTGCTCCATGTTCACTTTATGAAAGTCAAGAAGTTGCTTAAATAAGCTTCTTAATATTCAAATAGTAAATATTGGAAACTGTGCTTTCAGGTTTCTCTATTTCTTTTCCAGCTGTATCTATCAGTGATCCCTTCTTCAGTGGGAATCAATCGTCTTGGATGTCATTTCCTCCCATCAACATAAGACACAGAACTCATCTGCATCTGCAGTTTCAAACACTTTCACCGGAGGGCATCCTGTTCTACACCGCACGCTATTTGAGCAGTCGGTCCGGTAAGACGGCATCTTGAAGTTACATTATGCTAAATTAAACCATTTAAGTGTATCCTTAATACATTTTCATACATACTCATATCATACATATTCATATTTAAGATATGTTCAATAACAAATTGTGAATAAAAACAATAGATTATAATTTAGAGTTTGTAATTTTGTGAACCGAATGCTATTAACATTTATTCTCTACCCATCCAAGGTGATTTCCTCAGTGTATCCCTGTCAGCTGGATTTGTGCAGCTCCGCTATAATCTGGGAAACGAAACTATTGTATTACAGTCTCCAAAAACTGTAGATGTGACCGGCATGAGGTGGCACACAGTGAAGGCTGGTATAGAAGGCAACCATGGTTTTCTGATTCTAGACGATGAAGCCGTGACCAGGAACTCTTCGGAAGGCACGACCACTCTAGATGTTGGCACAAATATTTTCATTGGTGGCGTGTCCTCCCTGAACACACTGTCCCCAGATGCGATGGAGAAGGAGCCAGTGGGATTCACCGGCGGCATTCGAGAGGTCATAGTCAACGGGCAGGACCTTGAGCTCACAGAGACAGGCGCACTGGATGGAGCCAATGTTGGCGACTGGGATGGGACAGCATGTGGATATAAGGTTTGCTTGAACAGTGGCTACTGCCATCCAGTAGGACTTTCTTCATTCAGGTGTATTTGCCCCTCATTGTGGACCGGTTCACGGTGCCAACAGTCAGTTCACTGTGTCAACAATCTTTGTCAACACGATTCTGTCTGTGTCCATAACACAACGTCTGCTTCATATTCATGTACGTGTTCTTTGGGATGGATTGGGACTTACTGTGACCAAGACGTTACGTTGAGGACTTTAAGGTTTACTGGAAACTCTTATTTGAAATACAAGGATCCAAAGTACAACTCTAGGAATTTGATGTACACCGAGGTGTCACTGAATTTTTCTACTTTATCAGGGGACGGTTTGATCCTTTGGATGGGGAAAGCACACAGTGAAGACGATGACCATCTAGCGGTTGGGCTGCAGGGCGGTTATCTGAAGGTTTCAGTCAATCTTGGTGAGAAAACTGCTCTTCCTCTTGTGTATCAAAAGACTTTCTGCTGTAATCACTGGAATTATCTGTCCATCACTCGCAACCGAACTCTCATCCAGGTCTATGTGAATGAGGAAAGAGTCATTTTTGAAGACATTGACCCCTTTGAACGGTATGTAGCAGTAAATTATGGAGGGGTGATTTATTTCGGGGGTTTTGAATTGAAAAGAGATGTGGCGTCAGTTACGTCTGGTGTATTTACTAAAGGATTTGATGGGAGCATTAAAGATGTTTTCTTGTATCGGGACATCAGACAGCTGGAGTTTTTACAAACCAGTGAAGGTTTTAATGTCTATCAAGGTGAAGAGTAGAAAAAATGGCTGTGCGTATTGTTGCTAACTTGATATTTGATTTTAGGTATTCAGGTGTAGAATAGAATGTCAGTGCGTTTTTTTATTTTACACAAATATATGCTCAATGGCACAATCACAGTGCCCGTTTTTAAGAGGTGAAATCTGCCATTTATTGGCATGGTAAAATGATGCTGTGAGGTGGTAGGAGCGATCCTGCATCAATGATGCTAATGAAAGGTACAAAAACACTGCGCACACACACACAAAAACAAATTTGTTGTTTGAAGGAACAAAATGAAGAGATGAACACATGATAGCAGGACTGTTGTTATATATTTGTGCCTCTTATTGAATGAGCAGTTGGTATTTGTCCAGATTTGTAATTCTTGTTTATGCCAGAGGGGTGATTTATTTCGGGGGTTTTGAATTGAAAAGAGATGTGGCGTCAGTTACGTCTGGTGTATTTACTAAAGGATTTGATGGGAGCATTAAAGATGTTTTCTTGTATCGAGACATCAGACAGCTGGAGTTTTTACAAACCAGTGAAGGTTTTAATGTCTATCAAGGTGAAGAGTAGAAAAAATGGCTGTGCGTATTGTTGCTAACTTGATATTTGATTTTAGGTATTCAGGTGTAGAATAGAATGTCAGTGCGTTTTTTTATTTTACACAAATATATGCTCAATGGCACAATCACAGTGCCCGTTTTTAAGAGGTGAAATCTGCCATTTATTGGCATGGTAAAATGATGCTGTGAGGTGGTAGGAGCGATCCTGCATCAATGATGCTAATGAAAGGTACAAAAACACTGCGCACACACACACAAAAACAAATTTGTTGTTTGAAGGAACAAAATGAAGAGATGAACACATGATAGCAGGACTGTTGTTATATATTTGTGCCTCTTATTGAATGAGCAGTTGGTATTTGTCCAGATTTGTAATTCTTGTTTATGCCACACACACACACACACAAAAGTTCATCATTTTCAAGAGGGTATGTCTTTTAAATAAAATAATGGGGTGACTTTTCTGAATTTACGTATTAACTCTTCAATGGAAAATTGTTTCAACTTCTACCATAAAAGGCAATCAAAAACATTTACCCCAATAGTAGTCTTACTTCCTTTTTTGTTATTGTGAAATAAACAGTACCTTTTTCTGTGATCTCGTGTTGTTTAATTACAGTGCATGACAAATAAAAAATGAGCCTCTTTATGAAACAAAGACTTTCATTTCAGTCGCTTTACTAACAATAAAAATATTTTATTATGAACTGTACATAAACACAATGTGCTGAATATGCACATTTCTGTTTTGTGACGAGCAAAAATGTACAAAGAAATATTTGTCACCTGAAACATAGAAAATACTTAAGAAGCCAAATTTAGAAAAATTAAAACAGAAGAATAAAAAGTGAAGCAAAAGAAGCTGTTCTCATCAACCATGAGATGTTTTGTCTCATGGCAGTTTGCGTACAACAGTAGTTTCATTTTCTTGATTACAACCAGCTGCTTGTGAAGACAATGTTAGTGGTTAATTGAAAAGCCAGGTAGGGAAAATATACATTTTAAAACAAAACAAATATTGTTTAGATTACTAAAAAAAACACCAACTGAAAATCTCGTACTAGCTGCTTTTCCATATAAAAATCATTTTGCAACTTTATAAATAGTTTTCTTCTACCATTTTACAAATTTAAGGAAAGTGGAGCGATTCCATGCCAAGATCACGAGCGTCTGTCTCTCGAGTCTCTCCTGTGTTTCTCATAATCAGAATCCCGTCTGTGTTTGTCCCTGTCCCGGTAATGACTGCTGCTGTGGTGCCGCTCTCTCGGTTTTTCATACTTGTCCTCTTTCGAGTGGCGCTCTTTATGACTGTGACTTCTGTCCCTGTGCTTTTCGCTGTCCCTGTCGTAGTGCCTGCTTTTGTGATGGTGTCTGTCATGGTGGTCTCTTTCTCTATTGTCCTTCCTGTAGGTCTCATCGGACCGTCTGGACGGCTTGTCGCCCAAGTCACCACATGACTTCTCCGAACCCTTCTCATCTTTGCTGAGGGGCGAAGAACTCGGCAAGCTTGACTCATACATCAGAGGTGGTGGTGCAGGGTGCGTTTGGGGAGGGACGGTTTGAGGCCAAGGTGAAGCGAGCATGTGAGGATTGCTTGGAGGGAACATCTGTGGGGGAGGTGGACCAGGAGGAAATGGGAAAGGCGGTGGAACCTGTGGTTGAAGGGGTAAGTAAGGGGTAGGATTGGCTGGAGGAGGATAATATTGTGGATCAGGTGGACCGGCGTGATACGAATGAAAAATGGGGGCTGGATTATATACTTTAGGGTTAAAAGAAGAGGTCCTGGATTGCTTAAGACCTTCGTTTTTCCCAATAGAGGAGACTGTGGTGATGGCTTGGATGTCCTCTATGTCTTTGCACTCTTGAGAGGGTTGCGCTGATGGCTGCTGAGTAACTTTCTTTTCTGAATTACTTTCTGGTTGTTGCTGTTTTAACTCGGGAGGTTCAGCTGATGTCTTTAAAATACCAGGATATGTCTTTAAAGTCTTGGTGGGACTTGATACGGTTTCGTTTTTGGGGACAGAGCAAGAGCTGTCACTAACAGAATATTTTGATGCATCTGATGAAGTGGTTTCTCTTGTTTCTTGACTAGCTGGTGCAGCTGTGCTGCCGGACACGGACTCCTCTTTGGGTTTAGTGGCCGTGAGAGAAGAGAGGAAACTCTCGGTTGAAACATCTGCAGGTTTGTCACTCAGAGAAAGTATGACTCCACTCTCTTTCTTTTCTGAGCTGGTCTCCAGACTCGAGCTGGATGGAGCCTGCTCTGTTTTAACAGCTTTGGGGTCTTTTTTCTTGATAATGAAGCGGTCAAGTCGAGGAGCGCTGGCTGTAGGTTTAGGATGGATTGCTACATGGTTTCCACTGTCAACAGTTGGAGTCTTGGACACAGTTATTGTAGAATCACTCTTTACAGTGTCGCTCGAAGACGATGCCGCATTTCCAGGCAACTTCAGCACCCCGGGAAGAAAGCGCAAACAAACATTCTCATCGGTCTCCGTATTCAATATCGGTTCTTCGATGACTGACTTAATTAAGTCTGCAGTTTCTTTTTCCTGCGTGCTCCCCAAAACGCTGACAAAACTTTGCTCCACGTCTTGAGCCACAGGCGCTTTCTGTGGGTAATCGACATGAGGTTTGCTTTCTGCCAAGAAGCTTGGAGCTTCACTGACATCGCTTGGCAGGATTACCCCAAAGTCCCTTTTCGGTCTCTGGCGAATTACCAATCCGAGAAGAAGATTGGGACGATTGGTCTCCAGTCCTACAATGTGGAGGATTACACAATTAATATCAAGATTTTGTTGCAAAAATCATGCGGATCCTACAAATGAACCTGCAAAGAAAGTCTCACCTGGACCATCAAACGGAACAATCTGGTGAGGAATTTTTTCTGTGGAGCCGAGAGGAATGAGATACATGTCTTTAACTTGTTTGCGGTTGTTGGCAACAACTCCATATCTTCTTCGGCTGCTAAAATAGGCGTACAACAAAGTATACGAGATCTCATCTTCCTCGTTGTCGGGGGTGAAACGAATAACGCATATTTCCTGGGGGGGGAAAAAAAGTTTGTCACAAAAAGCAAATACAAATGGTCATATATAGACTGACAAATCCAAGGATAAATCATTCCCACCTTTGTCCCAGAAGCACGGATTTTCTCGACATAATCCCAGACTATTTGAGGGGAGATACGTCCACCTACTTGGAAGTTGTCCGGCAAATCCTGAAGACACAATTCGATATGTTTCTAACACATCAGTTCCAATGTCTGACTGACACATTTAGGATGTACTTCAAAATGTTTGACTGCCACATTACCAGAGTTAGGTGGTCCAGTATTCCAGAGACAGGATAAGCTTTTGTTAGAAACCTCGCCACAGCTGGCATATCAACAAAGCCGCCCCACAGGCTTTCAAAACTGCTGAGGAAAGTAGCTGTATCTTCTTTGCTACTCAGACTATCTGACCTGTTAAAGCAGCAATTTCTTCAGCCTTGCTTTCGAAACATGGGATTACTTAAATCATTTGCTTAAATCAGGAATCTTACCTGGATTCGGGCAAAAAATTAAGGAGGCCTTCCTCCATGGCCCTTAAAGATAGATCGTCCATCAGTGCTGATGTAGGTGTAGTTGTGGAGTGCTGAGATTCATCTGTCATACTAGACTGCCTCCTCACAACTGTTGTAGCCACTTTTACCACCTTTGTAGCAGCTTCCTCTGTAGGTGGAGCCATGCGACCTTCAGAGAAACATCAGAATCATGGTAAGTTCGTTGTACCATGAAAACATTCTGTAACTCTGAAAACTTTACTAATAACTACTTTTTGCAACTTTGACATAAGTTTCTTTTTAACAATGTTTAACAGCTTTAACTAGGCCTGTCGCAATAATCAATATATCGAGTTATCGTGCAATATATGTACATGACCTCAATAATTTTTGGTGACGCAATATATCGCCCATTAGATTTACTTAAAAATGAATGCCACCATGTTTTGTACATTCCACTTGCGCCGGTGTCTTTTGCAGCTTCTCGTACATAACGTGGTGTAGTCATGAGGTGCTAGTTCAAATAAAAAAAAGGTCAGGGACAAATCTGTAGATGGAAAAATCTCCATAAAAGTGCACTTTTCTTTTTTTTTGTACTTGTTACTTTGCACTTTTTGTTAGAAAATGTTTATTTAGTATTTATTCAGTTTTTTTAAGGTATCTAATATTTTGATGCTTAATTTCCATGATCTAAATATTCTTAAAATTAAAAGTTTGTTGTCATTTGGAAGTGTGTAGGCCTTCTTGCATTATTATGCTGTTACATTATGATTATATATTCATTGGCATAAAGTGGTCTTTAAAATGACAATAATATCGCTTATCGCAATTATTTCTGGGGCAATATATCGCACAACAAAAAGTTATCATGGCAGGCCTAGCTTTAACTATTAAGATGCCTGTACACAAGCTGTTTTTTACATGAAAAGAGGGAGTTTCTTAATGGACTTAATTTATCAGACTTTAATTATGATTGTTTTTTGTGCAAAAAACTTTGCTTAACATATGTAGACCCAAGATACTTTTTAGTTTAGTATGATGTAACCCCTTCACCAAAAAAAAAAAAAAAAAACCTTTTTAAAAGCTGAACTTTATTTTAACGTTTTACCTGTGCAGATTTTGCAGTTGAGGTCAAATAGATGAGACTTGTGCAAGTTGGTGGTATCTATAGATTTCTTAGGACTGTCAGCTTTAGTCTCGGGTTTTTCTTCAGGCACTTCTGCAGCTTTCGGCACAGGCTCTGGCTGAAGACACACAAGGAAAATTTAGAAAGCAATTTTATTTTTCCTTGCTGGAAAATATATATTTAAAAAAGCTGCACAGAATGGAGCATTAAGTCTCCCAAATCTCACCTCAACCTCTATGGCCTCTGGTGCCTTGGCAGGCTCCTGATTCTCAATTTCAATTTCCCCTTTATGGGTGATTTTAGTGATAGGACGTCTCTCTGCCTCTCTCTGTTCTTTCTCAATCATTTCAATCGTCTGCCAGCAGAAACATCAATAGGGTCAACAATCAATATCAAAATCTGAATGACTTTGAAATGACTTTTCTGATGGACAAATGTCCCACTGAATATTATTTATATAACTCAGGAAGTTAAACACTTTGCAAATGCCATTATGATGCTGTTTAACAAAAAAATAAACTGAGATTTTGAAAATGCAACAGAGCTACAATGTTTTACTAACATGTCGATTCTCTCTTCGTCTCCAAGCAGCCAGTTCCTTAGAGGCCAGCTCTTCTGCAGTCATACGCACCAAATCTGCAGGGGAAACTTCCCCCTTGAGCACTCGCTTGAATAACACCTGCAAAAGAACATTTATTTTCATTAACACAGCATTAGATTTTTAGAAGTGAAATGAAAATGAAAATAGGTAAACGGTAAAAATATGCTGCCCAGAGACATGAAATATTATACGTCAAATATAAAATCTTATAAGTATTTTACAATATTGTTGCAAAGTTGTTATATCATATACTTTTGAAAAACAATCATTATATTACCAAAAATAATGTTAAATTACTTACATGATTTTTTGCATCTTTCAGATTGAAAGTCAAACTTCTGTATTTATTTTTGTATTTGCTGTCAACACCCTGAAAAAGAGCAAAAAGCTCTTTCTCCGTTCTTCTGGCCAACTCAGCAGGCTTGTCCAATGAAATCTTCAAATCGGCGTCCTTCAGTCTGTAAAATAAGAGGTGCATTGAAGAGAATATGAACAACTTAACATTACACACTTAATACAAACAAGAGGTAGGCAGCTTTATTTCAACAACAAGGAAAAGCTACTGACTAACTTAACTGATAATCTAGCAAAAATCACATTCACAAACCGTTTCAAAAGAATCTCCTCCAGCGAGTCCCGAACACTTCGCCTTATTTGTCCAGTGGACGGTTTCTTTGAGGACACAGGTGAGATTTTAACTTTCTTCGACTCATGCTTCACACTTGGTCCTGCAAAAATTTAAACTCAAGATTATTAATGTAAATAATTTTGTATTCATTTCAAATATTAATGAGGACAAAATGAATTGTATTAATATTTGATCATTTTATTAATAAATTGGCAATTTAAAAAATATATATATAAACAAATCATTTAAAAAATGTTAAGTGTAAATAGTGTATAAAATAACTGATGGAAATATTTATACCCTTTGATGCTGAATCTTCTGACGGTCGTCGTTCTCCAACATCCTGTTAAAAAATAAATTCAAAAATAAATGACTACTACAATATAGCAGTGAAAACTGCAATCTGAGTCAAGCAAATTCAAGTGGCCATATCAATGGTAGCTGTATGTGAGTGTAACACACCTGTCCATGTGAACACACCTGTGAGGAACCATCCACCTACACTGAGTGAAAGCTAACTAATTCCTTCACACCCACGTGTAAATAATATAAAAAAGCAGATTTATACAAACCCTTTTAAAGAAAGCAGGTGGATACCACAAATCAAAAGCTAAATCAGAAAGGGCAGAACAAAATATGACTGTAAATCTGCCATTGGCAACCATCAAAATACTTTAATGCTCCCAAGAAAAACAACTTTTGTTTTTGCACTAGGTTGATATAGGACAAATCAGATCCTATGTTCTTTCCAATTAAAACGGTTCCATTAGTACAAACTCTTAATTCCTTTTAATCTGATTTGAGGCAATGACACGCTAATGCTAATTTAGCAGCCTGTGGTCTTTACAACACTTTCAGGCACAAACTCAAGTTTTAAGTTATTGGCTCACATCTATACTTCTATGTATGGCAGTTACGCAACACTTTATAACTAAAAATAAAGAGAATTAAAACAACTTCATAAATACTTCCTACAATTCTTGATTTTTGTGTTTACCAATGCATACATTTTGACATGATTTGTTTGCTTACTTTTCGGAAGGGTCGTATTCCACCTGCGGTGACCGACTGCTGGGGTCTCTGTTTTTGTTTAGCAGATAACTTATCATCTGACTGCTCTTTGGCTTGAGCACCGGATTTCCCATCCTCTTCTGCACAGCACTTCAAACACACATACTCCTGGTCCTCCTTTTCCATCTGCTGCACTTTAGACAGATCCAGACCAACACAATCCCCATGAAACCAGTCATCACAGCGGCCGCAGCCCACCATGAACCTAATCAAACAAACGGACAACAGCGTGTGGATGAAACTCACAGGTCTGTCTTCAGCCCATACAGATCTAACATGAGGCTTTTTTCTTACTACCAATTGATTAGGATTTCTTCAGGTTTTATGATGGGACTTTTTAAGACCAAGTGATGAAAATTTAAGGAATAAATTGAAGGTACCAATACATCGATTTGGTCTCTAAATGTATATATCTAGGGAGCACACAATGAGTTGTATTAGCAACACTTCAAAGTTTGAAAATATAACTGCCAACCAATATCCATTAATTTTATATTCATTAAAAAAAAAATAGCAAAAGGCTTGAATAGCTTTCACTCCCAACCACTAGAATATGGAAATAACTTTTACTGTACTCCTGATCACACTGCAAATAAATTTAATTTTCATCAGTATTTTTGTCTTATTTTCACTGAAAATGTCTAAATATTCTTAAATCAAGATATGTTACTTCAGAAAATTACACAAGTCATGTTTTATGAGAAACTGGTCAAACTGGTGAAGTGAGTTTATGATTAAAACAAAAACAAATATCTTCCAATGGATTCAAAAATCAACATAATTCAAAGGGAAAAACAAGTTTTCATACCCCATTGACAGAGGTTTGTTCTTGTTTTAGGCATAAACCCAGCTTTGTTCAATTTCTCAGAAACGACTTTATATGTTCAGTTTGCATCTTGTAAACTGCATCTTGATTTAAGGGTTTTAAGATTTTTGCATTGGAAAACAAAAACATACTGAGGAACTTTGCAGTGCATGCAACATTAATGCCAAGACTTTCTGCTCTGATTTAACGCCTTTTTAAGCCTTAAATTGTGGAAGGGCGAATTAAGTATTTTGTAAAAATACAATAAAGCATTTAGATTATTGATTTTAATTGCTATAAATGAATTTAGGCAGGCATTTAACTGTGTTATTAAATTAGTGTTTTTAAAAATTAAGTGAGTGTTAGATGGCAAAGATTTTCTCAATTTAAAAATAGGAAAAATGAGCATGCACAATTAAACATCATTAAAATTATACAGAAAAATGTCTTGATATACGACCATGTGAATGGATTTAGTGATAAAAGTCCATACCGGTTGTTGTGAGGTTTCTTGCATAATCCACAGTGCTTGCTGGGATCCCACACAGTCTCGCTTTCAGGAGGAGGGTCGCCCTCAGCTTCCTTCTTCACCACAGGGGCATTATCAGGGATAAACAGCTGCGGCTCCTCTATCGAGATACTCCTAGAGTTTCTGCTCTTGTGTCTTTGCTGGATCTTCTCCAGCTTCTTGATCTTGACTTTCTCTTGCTCCTCTTCTCCTTGGCTGTTTGTCACAGGTGTATTTGTTTTGTTTACCGGAATGGGAAGATTTTGTGTCTTTTTCGGAGGGTGAGGAGACTGGACTGACTTGACACCTGGACCAGAATCAGATGACAGTTTTCTGCTGACAGTCGGGGACACCGGGACAGGTGGGTTTACGGTTTGGTTTGCAGGATGTCCATCTTGAACTTTTTGAATTTTTGAGGGTGATTTAGGAGTGACTGGCCCACCTGGCCGTTTCAAGCCCACCTTAATGGTCTTTCCTTTGTGACTTTCTGGGCGGCTCGTATGTAGCTTTTTATCTCTGGGATGTCTGGATACTTTCTGCAAGAGCCCTGGCCTGGTGAGATGAGATGGTTTGTTTTTGGCAGCAGACAGAACCCGTTTGTGTTTCAGAAGCTTTTTGACTGCAGGTTGAACTGCCGTGCCGTTCTTGTTCCCTGTTTTTTGTGCACGTAGCTTTCGGGTCTTGATTTGGTCATTCTTTTTGGCGTCTGCTGGTGTGGCGTTTTCCACACTGGGCTTGAGCGACATGGTGCTGTTAGTGTCTTGTACTTCATTAGGGTTCACATATGGCCCAAAATCCATAGGCATGTCTTCACTAGTTGATGGGCCAACGCTCACTTCCCTGACAACATCTTGCGCAGAATTAACAACTTCTTGTGTGCCATCATCTTGATTTTGTCCCAAATCGAGTGCAAGGCCATCAGCAGTGATGCAGTCATCCTGGAAGCCCAGAGACTGAAGAGCACTTGTGCTAAACGATCCAAACGCATGCGACGGGCCAGGAAGTAGTTCAATTTTATAGCCCCCCACAGTAACAGTTAATCGGCGTAACACAACTACTGGATTCAAAGAGGAGTCGACCTCATGGATTCCAAAACGACGGCTGAGCAGGGCTTCCCTTTTTGCATCAAGGCTTTTATCTCCAACCGGGTTTCTGCTACATGTTGACTCTTGCTTGTTACACTCGGCTGCTTTTCGTGCAGGACCTGGGCGCCTGCCTTTGACTCGACCGCGGCTCGCTGAAAGAGAAAAATGGTTTCAATACACTCATAGTGGTAAAACAGAACAGATGAGCAGTCAAACACAGCAAATGGGCAAAAATATTGGTTCCAGATGACCTTGAACCAAATAATCCTCAGGCTTTATTAATATCTCAATACAGCAGACATTTAAACAATTTCAAAGGAGACCAAAATGAGGGTGAGCCGGGAAAAAAACTGTAATTTTTTATTAAAAATATTTCTTGTATTTTTTTTTTGGCAAACAGCACAAGTCACTTGCAGCATCTTATACAGTGAAAAGTAGAGATGCACCGATTGTGCATATATATATATATATATATATATATATATATACTTGGATGACAATCCTTTGCAGTCAATGACTGCCTGTAGTCTGGAGCCCCATGGACATCCCCACATTCTGAGCTTCCTCCCTGGAGATGCTTTGCCAGGTCAGATTGTGCATATATATATATATATATATATATATATATATATATATATAAATTGACAAGTTGACATTTAAAATTTTATTTTTATTTTATTGTAAGAAATTGATTTAACTTGTAAATTGTTTTAAAAAAAAACTAATAGTTATATTTACAAAGAGTAAAAAAAGTCGTTGGACAGCTGGAAACAATCAGTGAATTAATAGGGGTTACTTCTGAAACTTTACTGCAAGCTGATTCAGAAGATTCAAAGCAATCCAGTTGTCCATTTTGTTATGTACCTGTTTGTCTTCTCTGTGAATGACCTGCATGTCTTCTGCCCTGTGAGAAGCTAGACTGACTGTGTTGTCCATCAGATGGACTCTGACTAACACCTGCTGTTGTCATGTCATGATCTGCATCTGCAAAACACAAAGTAGTTAAACTACAAACCTTCTTCTAAATCAAAACACAGACTTCAAAAGCAACTGCTGTACCTGTTGAGCTCCCAAGCTTAAAACTGACATCTTCGTTTTCTAAGAGATGAAACTGGGCAATAGCAGATCCAAACATGGGATCTTTGTCACTGAGCATGTTCTTCAGTGAATCTTCGGGTCGGCCGTGACCTGCTTCAAACTCATCACTAGCTTCACATTCCAAGTTCTGTCCGAGCAGTAAGGAATCATCCAACTGGTCACTGGGAACCAGATGATTGAATGGATAAGCTTCAGAGAGTGCATTATGGCTTGAAATTAAGTATTCTGTTTATTTTAAATGCCATTAAACTTAGAGCAACTTCAAGAAATCTACATCAAGGTATGTGCCGAAATATACAAAATAGCTACAGCTTCAGAGTAGACTGGTCAGAGCCACTGGTGTTTTTATTTTGGCTCCAGATCGGCTCACGTGCAGACAGCTAGCGCATGCGGCCCTCAGCAGCTCACACATTCATCGACTCTCTCTGAACAGAGAAGGCAGCTGTTAGAAACTGTTTTAGCGTGTGCTAAAGATGCATTCGTCGTTTAAGCAAAGCACTGCATTAGAAAAGCCTCACAAAACAAACACACCACCACACGCTTCCGCGAGCACCAGGGGGCCTTTACCAACCAGCCTGCGTGTATCTCGCGCGCTCACCAGACCGAATTAAACTCACTTTTATCAACAACAAGCGTTCGACACCAACTCCCAAAAGGTGCATATATAGTTAGCGGCACATTCGACGCGGCTTTTTGCACAAACTCGTCTGGAGTCGCGTCGCGTGCACCGCAGGAAGGCCTCGCGCTAAACGAACTGAGAGCGTGCACGCCCACTCCGCGCTAGACGCGAGATAAAACACTCACCGCGTTTGTCACTGTGATCGAAGAGCCAGCGCATAGTGGGAGAAGGACTTGTATTATCGCTTACATTGTTGGGACGCCATACGGGTTGCAGTTGTCGTTAATGCCACATCCTTTTCCGCTTGAGACACAAGTAGTACTTCCTGTTGACCCTCTGAGCCAGCAAATAACTCGTGATGTGCTGGATCTGTCGGCAGGGGGCAGTGTGATCTAGCTCTAGTCACTGCTTAATTGCATAGTAAAGCTACAGTGCATGGCCGAAGCATTTGCAGAATAATATTTCAACAAATAATAATAATAAAATGAATACGTTTTGGTTAAAGAAAGAAATGCACGATTTTTTTCTTTTTTAAGTAATAATAATTAGTAATTATTTTAAATAATAACAGATATTTTCCCACTTTTTATTTGGTCTCTTCTATGTACCAGTCTTTGCAGTGATTAAAGCGGCAGTGCCTCTGTATGGTTTGTCTTTCTGCTATTTTTTTACGGGGCAGTCGTGGCCTAATGGTTAGAGTCGGACTTCTAACCCGAAGGTTGCGGGTTCTTCTTTAGAAAAATAAATGGGGGTGAAATGCAAAAGTACAACTCTCTCAAGTACAAATTTTATATATAATATGAAAAGTCCTACATTTAAATTCACACTAAAGAGTTAAAACAGGATAATTATTATTAATTATTTAGACCCATAGTGCTTGAGACTGCGGCACAATGTCGTGGTGATTTCCATTCTACATACTTATGTATTTACGTATTATTTATTTACACAAACACAAATGTAGATTTTTTTTTTATCCCAAACTGCTGCTGAAGCAACAAATAAGTGGCGTTGTCACGTGGAGCTTGTTACTTTTCTCAGCGCTTATCTGGCTAGGCCAGTCACGGTCAGTGCTGGCTTTGGGGATGCGTGGTGCATAGGAACCTTGTAAAAATTCAGAACGTTAGAATGCAAGAGGGAATTTCATATGCTTAGGCAGTTAAAAATGTGAAGCAGACGGAAGACGGACAAGGAATTACTCTGGAACAAGTAAATTAAAAACTTAAGGATCAAGTAGTAGATTCACAGGCAACATGTGGACGCTCTTAATGGTATTATTAGTATTAGCCTACAGTGGAATGCAAGGAGTTTAATGACAAATGGGCGAGAGTTTAAAAGGATAATAGAAGATAAGAAATATAAACCTCGTGTTATATGTATACAAGAGACGTGGTTGAAATCGAATTACATTTACTCGCGTTACTGTGTACTTCTAATTTTTAAAGTAATTTTTAAAAATCTGTAATTTTACTTTTGAAGTATTGTACTTCAGGGAGTCTTCTCCTCCCATTTCTACCAGTGATAATTGTTTCCTTCCCGCGGTACTCCCTGCGCACATATCAATAGCATCACTGGGCTTTAGGTTGCCAAGTTGAGGGGACAAATGGGTTGAAATTTGTATGCGTCGATCGTGTGAGAAAGGGGAACATGACTATTGAGAATGTGGAGATATAGTTGGACCTAAATGTTGTAATAGCGGAGGCTCTCATAGTGCTGCATATCTTGGGTGTATAGCACAAAAAGTCAGCAAAAAGGTATTTGCGTTGGCTGTTCTCTTTTTTTTTTTTTTTTTTACGTAGGCTGTTCTCGCTGACTCGCTCTGTAGTTTAATGTAAACTGAACATGTCAAGGGGTGAGTACCCAATAGGTTGTTTGTAATCACGTGATTCTGATGACGCGCGAAATGCAGCTGGCGGGCAGGAAGTGATTTTTCTCCATAAACAACGCAAAACACAGGCATTTGGAGTTTCTGCTAGTGATTCCTATGGAGAGAAAAATCACTTCCTGCCCTCCAGCTGCATTGCGCGCGTCATCAGTGACGTCATGTGCAAACAACCTATTTCCATAAACGGCACAAAGCAAATATATCTCCTCTGTGTTTCGTCGTTTGTTTTTAAGTACTTTTTATTTTAATTTTCAGGTCAAATCATTGGGATTACAGCTGGGGCTGCTGGTAAGTGTACTATAGCAAAGACCAGCAAATAATCTAGGCCCGTTTAAATGTGTTTGAGCAAGATTAAAAGAATAGTTAACCCAAAAATGAAAATGTACTCGCCCTCAGGCCATCCAAGATGTAGATGAGTTTGTTTTTTTTCATCGGAACAGATTTGGAGAAATGTAGCATTACTCTACTTAACTTTGGAAGTAGGAAGGAGGACACAATAATATCTAGACTCTGTATTGGTCACACAGCTCTTAATCAATCATTATTTATTATTGGTAAACATGAATCAGGTAATTGCAATAATTGTGGTATACCAGAGACTGTGGAACATATCCTATTACATTGTGAAGCATATGAAAGAGAAAGAATGCGATTAATAGAAGAATTAAGTTTGTTGAATATTGAAAGAATAACAATTAAGACAATACTAGAGTATGCTCCAGCACAGTATAAAGTCTATAATGCAATTATTAATTATTTGAAAGCAATAGGTTTAATAAATAGAATTTGAAGATCACATAATGAAGTATATACAATAATTGTATCCTTGTGTAATACTCCTTTGGTCAAACTAAAGGTTATTTGATTTATTTTATTTTTTATTTTTATTATTATTATTTTTTTATATGCTGTCACCAATATACGGCATGCTCCACACTCCAGTCCAGTAGGTGTCGGAAATGCACCTTTTAAGTGGGTTTGCCAACCGCCGTTAAAAAGAAAAGAAGAAGAAGAAGAAGAAGGAAGTAGGCTGTTCTCGCTGACTCGCTCTGTAGTTTAATGTAAACTGAACATGTCAAGGGGTGAGTACCCAATTTCCATAAACGGCACAAAGCAAATATATCTCCTCTGTGTTTAGTCGTTTGTTTTTAAGTACATTTTATTTTAATTTTCAGGTCAAATCATTGGGATTACAGCTGGGGCTGCTGGTAAGTGTACTATAGCAAAGACCAGCAAATAATCTAGGCCCGTTTAAATGTGTTTGAGCAAGATTAAAAGAATAGTTAACCCAAAAATGAAAATGTACTCGCCCTCAGGCCATCCAAGATGTAGATGAGTTTTTTTTTTTTTTTCATCGGAACAGATTTGGAGAAATGTAGCATGACATCATCCTTTAGGGGGGGGGAATTAAGAGCGTCAGAATGAGTTCAGTCAGCTGATATAAACTATACAAATGTTATGTAAGTAAACCACAAGCTGCATGTTTGTAATAAACAATTCTATTATAAAGTTTTTTTTTCAATCTGTTATTTCCGTCTAAATTAGCAGTCCTCTATCCATAATATTGCCTTATCCAGTGAAAAATGGAAAAAATTGTCTAGTCTGAATCAGCAGAGAAATATGCACAGATCAAGCACCAGCGAAAACCGATCTAAACAAATCTGTTGGTGGATTTTGATGTGAGAGGACAACAGGGGTTGGACTATTTCACTGGAGAAAGCAGGATTATGGATTTTTTTTGGCCAGAAGTGACATTTAAAAGTTTCTTACAAACATTCTTACCTTTGTTTCTTGCAAAAATGCAGCTTTTCACTTCACACGACATTAGCTGATGGACTGAAGTAGTGTCGATTATTTGGATTATTGTGATTTTTTTTTGTAATCATCTGTTTGGACTCTCATTTTGACGGCACCCATTCACTGCAGAGGATTCATTGGTGAGCAAGGCATGTAAAGCTAAATTTCTCCAAATCTGTTCTGGTGAAGAAATAAACTCATCCATATCTTGGATGTCCTAAGGGTGAGTACATTTTCAGCAAATTTTCATGTTTGGGTGAATAACTAATTTAACAGAGAAATGCTTGTTAATGTAGTAATTGAAATGACAAATGACAATTTTTCACTGAAATGCTGTGAACAGTTTATTTTCCTGTTGATTAGCTGGTGCAGTACTTTTGGCCCCCGTTGCGCTCAGCATGGCTGGGTTCACCGCCGCCGGTATCACCGCAGGTTCTATGGCCGCTGGCATGATGTCTTCAGCAGCCATCACCAGTGGTGGGGGTGTGGCTACGGGAAGTTTGGTCGCTCTCCTCCAATCTGCAGGTATTTTCTAATTCTATATTAAGAGTATAAATGCCTTAAGAGCAAAACAATGTAACAAACCTGTACTGAAATTAATTAGTCTAATAAGCTACAGGTGTAACTGAATTGTTATGAAACAGTAGTACCTGAGTCATGTAAATGGAACGTTTTTTATTCTAAGATGCACGTATGAACTTGTATGACATCACTGGGCTGGGTACACCTGTTCTCTGTGTCATTCTGATTCAGTTATTGCTGTTATAAGGCTTTTTGTGTTCTGACAAGTACCTCTCACTGATCTCTATCCACCTTATTCCTATGCCCCATGACCCTTTTTCGCGAATTATGGGTGTAACGTCTCGTCTGTTAAGCTGTAAGCAATCAGTAAAAGGCTCGCTTTATGAACGTAAAAGTTTTTTTTTTTTTTTTTT